CGGCGCCGCCGCGTCACGCGCGCCCCGCCCCGCGGCACCGTTAAATGGCGGCGGCGGCGGAGCGACCGTTAGGCGGCCTCGCAGGTATGAGGCGGGCGGGGACGGCGGCGGTTGGGCCGCCCCGCGGGGCTCGCGGCGGGGCGGGCCTGTCCCCGTCCCCGTCCCGCCGCGGGGAAGAGCCCCGGGGCGCTTCCCGTTCCCAGCCCGTGTCCCGTCCTCCTCGCTTGGAGGAGGACCAGTCCTAAATACGTTTTTTTTTTTTATCTTTTTTGTTTGTTTTTCCTCCACAAGTAGTAAGTTTCTACCTTTCTAGATACCTTTATTAGAGTTTTCTCCAAGAGCTGTATGCTCATCACAAATAAATCACTSCTAGTCTGGAGTCAGATTAAACTGTACAATAAAACTGAAGGGAACCAAAAGGCAGACTCAACAGGAGAGCAATGAATAGAACTTCTTGAACTTGTTTGTGTGTAAACCATGAGTTCTTCTGTCTCTGACCGGTTCTGTCTTTGACTGTTGAAGAAGTGTGAGTTGATGGAGCGGGCATCAGCTGTGCAGAGCRGAGGAAGATGAAGAGGAGCCTCCGCGGAGGGTAGGACAGCGGGTGAACAGGGGACAGTCGGTGYCAAGAACAGCAGGCACCAGGTGTGTCAGGGCAGGAGGAATGAGCTCTGAAGATGGTGAAAATGAGGACTCCTCCTGAAGGAAAAGGTGGGTGCTCCTAAAAGTGTTGATATTCCTTTATAAGAGGAAGGTTTATTCTTCTATGCYAAATAAACTTGTTGATGCTTTTTTTTGATTCATTTTGGAGTGCTTTAGGCAATGTCCAGTCACAGGGTAAACTTGTCTTTTCTTTTGAGTTGGATTAGATGCATGGATAAGTGATGTAGTTCGAAAATTTAAAATCTCAGCATCTGAATGAGAAAGTGGTCTACGATAAATGAGAGAATGGTAAAGTAAGAGATTCTAGGAGTAAAAGCTAAAGACTGTTTTGTTTTTGATTTATTGCCATACTTTATTTCAAGGAACAGCAAGGTCAACTGGAGGAAGAGATGCAACCTTTGATGGGTAGGATGAGGTAAGTGTGAAAGTCATCAGCTTTGAAGAGACTGAATGAAGTCAGGGAGAGGCCAAGGCAGAGGGAGGAGAAAGGAGAAGTGTACCAAAGACAGAAACCAGCCGAGTGAGTTTTCCTTGTGTTTGCAGGAGTTAGCACCTGTATTGCTTGCAGCTGGAAGAGCAAATGTGTGTACAGTGGGGGGTGGAGGGGCCTCCTTTCTCTGGGCAACATACAGGTTACTGTTTTGCATATGAACTAGGCCTGTTGACAGAAAATGACTGCACTTTTATGCTAATGCCAGAGCACTTACACTGCTGATGTTATTGGAAGTAGCATTTCCATCAAGGAAGGACTTAAAGTTTTTCTTTGAATTTCCCTGCAAGATATCAGCTAATCTCCATTATAATATGATAGTTACAGTTCATTGTTTCCTTCAAGYAAGCTTGTAGGAAGAGCAATATGTGAACCTAAATGCCATACAGTGCTTTTCCTATGTAGCTGTAGTGCTTGATTATCAAAAATGAGTGTGTTAATGTACAGCAAGGATAATATGGAACCTTTTGAGAAACCTGGAATGATATATGAATAAACTGTAAGACTACRTTCTGTTTCATACAAGATTATTTCTCTAAAGAGAAAATGCATATGTTAATACTGTTAGATCCTACTGTAAATCATTTTGCATAAGAAATCACAAACCATAAACACTTGCCCAGATTTATAGGTAGGGAATCAGATCTACCAAGTTGGGTTGGGTAGCCCCTCGTTCTTCTTGAAGAAAGTCTGGAAGTGTATAACAGCTAATCTTATAATGAGGGAAAGAATCTTCAATATTCACTAAAAACTGTTTCAGAGACTTTTTTTCAGATATTCTTTTGAATGTTAATATCTTAGACATAAAAGCATTTAAGTAATTTGAATACCTCAGCTAAAGTTTGAAATTAAGGCCAAAGTTGAACTGGGGTTAATTAGCTACCAAATTCTAAACAGCATAAAAAATAAAATTACYGCAGCTTCTTTCTCTATTGAGCACTGCATGTTGGCAAATTTTTTACTTACTGAATGTGGATATAACASCTTTGTGTATATAAAGGACTGTAGTATCTTCCATAAACAATAATAGTTAAACTAAAAATAGTTAGGCTGAGTAAAATTAAACRTAGTGAAGTAAACTGGATGTTATGCAGTAATGTGAAGAGTCTTGACTAGGCCTGTTATTTATCACTGACTTTTTTGTTGTTTTAATTATGGTTTAGACTGAAGCAAAAAGTTGTAGTTGCCTTTGATTCTGTATTCAGTTTGGCATATAGCCTCTCTAAACATAAATCTAGATAGTCAAAGGTGTGTRACTAGGGAAGGAAGGGCTGCCTTTTAAAGGATAAACCTGATCTTGGTGTGACAGAGCGGATGCTTTATTTGCATTTCTTTACATTCACTGAATTAATGCACAGATAGGTGTAAAGGCTAGGTAAATTCACAGTCAAATGAAGAAAAGTCTTTACAAATCTCAGGGGTTTTAATTCTGGTTTTCACACACATCTCCGAAATTGTGGCACTTATGACACTGCAGGGAAAAACTGATCTGAGAGGGAAGTCTCAATTTACTTCACTGTGCCTAACCCTGCTCTAACCGTGTGGTTCTACACTGTTAAGACATGAACACTGATGCTTAAGGTGATTAACCTCTCCAAAAATTCTGCATTTCCTAGAGCACTGAATTGATTCACCGAGGGATCTACTGAGTATCAGAATTAGTAAGGTAAGTGTGATGTACACCTYTGTACAACTGTACAGTGAAGTGCACTAACAGAGTGGTTTTGGGAATGTAGGAAAGGACCAAGTGATTGGGAGCCAATAAAGAAAACAGAAAAGAAAAGGTGAGTGTGCAATAGGAGATTATGAACAGGCACAAAATAAGGAATAATAAGGAAAAAATAGTTCAGTAACAAATGACGGTTAGAAAAATAAGGAAGAAAAATGGAAGGAAAAGTTCAATGAAAAGCAAAAGGAGATAATGTAACTATTTTTAACACGGACAAAATCTGCTTCATAAAGAATATCTTGAAATACAATCAATACAATTTTGTTATTTTTTAAAATAAGCAATCAGTTGTCATTGTGAAGTTATGTGGAAGAGAAAATATTAGATGATAAAAGCATCGACATGGTGAGAAATGTGGGGGCTTGCTCTGTACTAGAGTCAATYGCAAAGAGCCAACCAAATGAAACTAATGTAAATAGTATTGCATATCTATTTGGTACATCATAAGACTTACTATTTCCAGCTGGAAATAGCCTGTTGCTGACATTTTAGTATTTTGTCAAATTAATTAGGTAATTTATCAAATTCAGTTAAGTGTAATTCTTGAAGTTCTAAAGTTAATGGACTGACTTTTGATTAAGCAGATACTGAGATTAAAAGTTAGGTGAGAAACGTGATTAATCTGAGTTTTAGCTAGCTCTTTTCATCACTGTAACTACTATAAGAGTGTGATGTAAGCTTTATTGATAAGGACTCCTTATATTCTGCACCTGGCTACTGCTGTTAGAAAATCTAATATTGTAAACAGATGACATATGAGGCATTTTCAAAGAACTTGGATCCTGTTTCCCAAGATTCTTAATGAGAATGAAGCACCAGCTGCATTCCAAATATCAGTTCACTTGACTGATAAAAAGGCTTATTTGATGTTCAAATAACAAGGAGATTCTGCTCACCTTTGAGGATGGCTTAACCAGCTACCTCATCTCAGCTCGTGTGGTTGGCGGGGGCAGCGGGGAGAGAAAAACCCATAAATTTTACTTTTGTGTTGCTGCTGTGGATGAAGCAGCATGGCTTAGTGTTCAAATTCACATACATCAGATGCTTAAGTGAAACAGAGCAGAAAAGTAGAAAACTCTTATTGAGAGCAGAAATTGGCAAGGTGGAAAGAGAATAAACCATGACCTTCGGTGCTATAAAGCATGAAAGTGTTTGCTATATCCACCTTTATAAGAACACTTTAAAAAGGGTGTCAGTTTGCTTTTAACTTTCAGTTATAGGCTTAATTAGCACTGTAACTTCTGCAAATATTTATTGGAAATTGTTTTGCAAGGTAATATAGAGGCTGGCAGTGCTTTTAAGTATTGCCTTAAAAAGAAAAAGGCAGGATTAGAATACGTTCAGTGACAAGTGCCTTCAAAAGGCTATGTCAGGTAGAAAGACAAATGTAATTTGTTAGTTCTTGTTGCTTAATCTTATTAGCTGTTTATGCGACTTTGGAATAGCTGAAAGTAGTCAGAAAATACTATGCTTTTTATTCAGATGTTATTTGGGAAGATATGCTTAAGATTTTTGAAGGGCAAGTTCTCAACTTTGGAAATTCTAGTGATTAAGTTCCTAAATAATAGGAATGAATTAAGAGATGTTTAAGATACAGCTAGAATAAGCCATTTGTTTCAAACATTTGCAAACCTAAGAATTCTGTCTTGTTCTCTATACTCCATGGAATGAGTATTCCGGTGAKAACTTCTGGCAGACGAGACTGTAGATAGAAAAGCTTAAATATATAAAAGGCAAGTTGTAAGTAAGCATGTAATCAAGTTACAAGATCACTAGTTAAGCAGTGTCACTAATGGAGCTGAATTAGTAACCTACAGTTTATTAATCTAAGGAAAGACAAGCAATCGTCATGTCCAAATTAAAAGTATGAAGATCAGTCTCTCAAATTCTATTTTATATGAATTGAATAAGTGTCATTAAGATGGTGAAATATTCTGTAAATCAAGTTTAGCAACAGTACTGCCACTGTAGTACAGATACTTGAAATGAAAGAGCATTAGAGTATTATGTGAAACAATCTTTTGTTGTTTTTTGGGGGCCTTTAAACAGAGTTCAATTAAAAACAGTTCACTGCCTGAACTGGAGTGAGGAAGTGTAGTTCCATAAGGCACTTCATTGTTTTGATCTTCTTATGAGTTGACAAAAAAGTACTGAAAATATTTAATGCTTAATACTATTCCAATACTGATGTTCTTAAGTCTGTATACAAATTATATTAAATGCTGGTGTTTTCTTCCCCAAAACTACCTCTTCCCCATACTAGAGGAGACTTAAAATTGCTGCCAGTTATATTCTAGTAGCAGCTACATTTTGAAACAAAAGAGAATGTAAAACTCGCACAACACCAGAGTTCAACTTTTTTTTCACTTCTGTTATCCCTGGTGAATCAGAAGAGACAAGATGCAGAGCAAGAGTATTTTTTGAGCTAGGAGTCATTTCTATAAAATTAAACAACCACCACCAGAACAACTGCTGCTCCAAGTAATTTATTTTCTGTAACATGAAAGAATAAGTTATGATTAAGTTACCTAGATTTTTATTCTTGTTCTGTAGTTGTATATAATGATAATACCCTGCAGATTGCAATATTACRTGTCATCAGTGTTTGAGTTTCAATCAGTAGATGATTTGAGTATCTTTGGGGTCCAAAGTGCAGATTCTTTGACCACACTTGAAGTGGTTTGGGTATATCTCATAGCAGGAGCAGTTTCCTGCCCATAGAGCTACCATCTTTGTGCTAAACAGCTACAGGATTTTTTTGTCAATACCACCATTGCATCAGATGATTGCAGTTGATTCCTGGAAAGGTCAAAGTAGGAACAATCACACTTAAAGTGATTTTAAAAAATTATRTACCATTTATATACTTTAAGCTGTGTTTTTTTCTAGATATGTACATCATTGTAATAATCCTGAACTCTCACAAACACTATATTCCTTTCTGTGAGAGCKTTCCTATCATTCCCATTAAATTAGTAATATTTCAGTCATGAGGAAAAAATAAGAAAAGTTAGCTCTGTAGGACATATCTGCTCCTTAAGTTGAGTTACCTAAACAAAAAGAAAATAGGGAACAAGTTTTCTAGCACCCTTGAAAAGCTTCAGAACACTTTTAGAAGCAAAAATGGACCAAACTCTCAATTTCCCCATGAGGGGATTCCCTCATCTGSCAACAGGAAAGAAACTGCAAAGTCTTTTAAAGGACTTGTCAAAAGCCAAATCTGATGATGCACATCTAGGAATAAGGAATCAGTGCTGTGTCCTCTAATGGCAGCTGAGCTGTATGTATTTTTCAAAGGCTAGGATTTGCACTATGTACCATTTCTAATATCTTTTTATCCTTTGAGATGAGAGAATTTTCATCTCTACAAAAGCATTACAAGATTAAAACCTGCATATCAATCATCTACTTCAATAGCACCATAAGTTATAGCATGTTAAAATCAAGTYGATACTTATATATAAAGTCTTTTACATTAAAAGTGCCTTTAGCCATCTCTGGCTTAGGTGTCTAAGTGTAGCTACCTCGCTGCAGAAACCACTGAGCCCAGCATGTTACCTGGGAGACCCACCACCACAGCTACTGGGGCCAGAGGAGGCTTTTTACCACCACAGTACTTTTTAACCAGGAGGTCAAGGGACGGTGATGTTTTTGTAGGCTATATTAATGTTGGGAACTCTTACTTTAATATGACTTAAAAATAAGGATAACTACAATTGAAGGTCTAGAAACTATTGGTTAAAATTAATCGGGAACAGTCTGAAGTTTTTAAATTTAGCTCTGTGGATACTGAATGTTTATCTAATAGCCTGTCCCATTCTGCTTAAAGCTATCACTTTGTTATCCTAACAGGGCAGTGTATGCTTATGCAGAGTCCTGCTGTAGGCAGGTTGGGCTTTTCAGTCCACTAACCACATATTTGTTTTTTCTGTTAGCAAGAGGAAGATAGCTGTGGAATCTGGATGATTTCCAGATAAAGTATAACAAGTATAGTATTAACAAGGGACAAGGAAAAGAAACCTGCCCTCTTTTCCCTGCCTATTACCCACCATACTGGATTTGTCCAGCACTAAGTACTAGTGCTGGACACTATCTTAAGTGTATCAAACAAACGTTTGAAAAGGATAAATATTAAATGGGCAAGTAGTATGGGTAAAAGGTGTTATACTGTCTTTCCATCTAAACTAATAGTGACAAAAATAAACAAATTGAGTAGTTTGTTATCCAGCAATGGCTAAAACATCAATATAATCCAGAAGCAATAATACATACACTGTTAAAAGATCAAACCAAGAAATCATTTTCCTATTCAAATATATTACTAGAATGCAAACAAAATCCACATATTAGTGAAGGAAATAAACAACCAAGTAGTTCTGGTGCTTTACAGTATTACCAGCCATAAAGAAATGGTTAGTGTTGATAAAAACAATTAAGATAGTGTTCCTTCTAAAGAAACAAAAATGGAACTGTTAGTAGAACATCAGTTGTATGATGGGATGGCTCAAAGTGCATGTGGAATAAGGTGGCAGTACAAGTGATGTTTGCACCTGTTTTTTGCACCTTTTCTTCTTAGCACAGTAACCTTTGCAAAAGATGGTCTCTTTTCCCAAATGGAATTTTTGCTTCATCTTAGCTGTGCTGCAGTCTGTAGAACTTCCACATTTTTGTAACCTGTCTTGCAATATGCAAGGTAAGGCACTTTAAAAAAGTGTTCAGTAGTTCAGAAATTCCCCACTACTCCAGAAGGAGGTTTGTGACTATGGCATTGGAAGCGACATAGACTTTCTAAACACTTTTGCCCCTCTTGGACGTCCTGGGTAAGGAGGTGGTGGCACGTCTGGTTGTCCACCTGCAGAAATTGCTTGCTCATAAGTTGGTAGTCCCGAATCATCAGTTCTGTGAGGAAGTGGATTTAAAGAAAACTCTTCATGTCTTCTGAAGATGCTAGATGAATGACTCCTGTTTGAATGTCTCCTGTTCCTTACATGCTCCGAGTACCTAAACAAAGTTGACAGCATTGTAAGTGGCAGCTTTCCTTTTAATAAAGGAAAGAAAGCATATATTATCTTAATTGCCAAATTTTAAAAAAATATAGTAATTTTTAAATTTGATTCTTAGTCAAGGTTTGTTTCAATAGTGACATTTCTTACCCTGGTGGTTGCCTTGATTTGCATCTACTTTTGCAGCAGTAGAAAATAAGCAATCCAATAATGACCAGCATTACTCCTGCAGTAACTAGACCAATGAGAAGTCCTGTAACATTAATCCTTTGTAGTGTATCATCATCTGAAAGGAAAACATTGGTTATTTTTCAGGGGAATAACATGATGTTCTTTCCATTTATGTACTCTGTGGTATGTAGCCTCCTTTCTCTGGAGAAGTGAAGGCTGAGAGGGGATCTGATTAATATATATAAGTACRTGGAGGGTGAATGTAGGGAGGAAGGGGCCAAGCTCTTCWCAGTGGTGGCCAGTGATAATTATACACACCTATACACATACAAGGGAGTTGAGACTAAGTTGAAACACAGGAAGTTCCGTCTCCAGGTGASGAGGAACTTCTTTACTGYKRGGGTGACAGAGCAGTGGAACAGGCTGCCCAGGGAGGTTGTGGAGTCTCCTTCTCCGGAGGTCTTCAAAACCCGCCTGGATGCCACCCTGTGCCACATGCTGTAGGTGTGCCTGCTTGAGCAGGAAGGTTGGACTAGATGATCTCTAGAGGTCCCTTCCAACCTTGAACATTCTGTGAAATACTAACTTCCCTGTGCAATAAGGTAGTGATGTCTGAGTCTGCAGTGAGGAGTTGTCGTGCCTGTGCAATACAATCAAMCTGTTTCATTCACATTCAGCAATATGAAGTTCTATGGAAAAAAAAACAAATCTGGTTTTGCTGACTAAATACATGGTGTTATTTTTAACAATGAGCTGTGATAACAAACAGAAGATACTGCAATGTAAGCAAAGAACAAGAAAATGAAAAAAAAATCACTTGCCTGTTTTTATTTTAGGGCCTTTAGTTGAATAGTCTTTCCAAAACTCCATCTATAGAAATAATACAATCACTTTTATGAGATGCACAGCTGTCAATAATGTGGTAGTACAGGCAAAAAATAAGMATGACACATAGAGAGGCAACTCTCACCAATGCATTTGTATTTCTTATCAGGTGTTTCTGTCATACATTCAAGTTTGCAGAGAAGTGTAATTTCATGAAAGATTTCCTGTGCGTTTTCCCCTTTCTACCAGGTTTCTTCCAGCCATACAAAGGCAGCAGACGATGCTACAGGAACTCTTAGCAACAGCTGAACTCTAGATTTACTGCTGCTACCTACTGGTGTCTGCTTTGGCACAGCCCAGGCACAAGATCAGCCAGTTAATGAGCACGACACAGGCAGGACGTTGGAACTGCGTGGTGAGAAGCTTCTAAGGAGTTACCAAGAAAAAAACACTGAGATTCTGCAAGTGCATTAATGTGTATCCATAAGTGGTGTTTTTGGAGTTTGTTTTATATTTATGCTTGCCAAATCAATCTTTATCTAAAGTGTTTAAGAGTTCTGTATCTAGCACAGTGACACCAGCTACTTGGGGCCTCTATTTTTACTATAAAATAAATATCTTGTTTTAAGAGCTGTTTTCTGAAGGGGTGTAGTATTAAAATGCAGTAATTGTTTATTCGGTAACCTTCAGGATACTAAACTCAGTTTGAACAATTACCGTTTTTTCGGAGTCTTCAAAAACTTCTCTTGCTTCTTCATAATTGCACAGCTCTTCAAAGCATTCCCTTTCCAAGTTATCTGGTGTGAATGCTTCAAAATCAAATCTGTTATTCAGAAGATGTCTTCCAATGAATAAATTGGCATCCTTTTCTGATATGAACACTAAGAAAAAAAATCAAATACATTTAAAGCTAGTTAGGAAAGCTAAATCTATTGTTTTTTAAATGATGAAAATTCCAAAGGAGTGCATTACGTTCATTTATTCCCCTAGCATCTCTCAACCATATATAATATAAAGAAATGTCAACAGAATATAATCTTTGTTGCTAACTATTCTGACTATGCGATACAAAATAGACATACTTTCCTTCCTCATAAAGCATTCCAGCTATTCCTTATATTGGCCAGRAGAATTTGGTTCTCGCAACAACTGTTGGGAATTCAGGGGTATGTGAGTATCAAAACATAAATTCTTTCAAATCCAGACAAAGCAAAACATCGACCTGGTGCTTGCAAAATCTGTTCTTTTTAAAGAATCTTCAATATACATTCCTTTTACATAATCTGGTACCTGAGTTCCAAATTTTGTTTACAGAATTTGAGTTTAAAATAATGACAATGAAGTCCCATACGTTTTGCATTTGTTCTCTTCCTCTCAAAGTTGTGACAGTGTTTAATTGAAGGAAGTTTTATATAAAGACTGACCTATTGCCATATTTATTTGTTTTAAGTTAGCCCATGCATGATAGGAATGTCTCTCCCATCAGGAGATGGTAGACACTTCTGAAGGCATTTATTCTTTTCTTATTTTGTGCTTATTAAAAGGTCCGTAAAGAGGATGAAGTAAATTGTGAGGCAAGATTTCTGAAGGTTAGTGAAATTATAGAAGATCTTAGAATACAGGAATGCAGTTTCTTGCCAAGCACTTCCTATAGTCAAGTTTTAGCCTGTTCTTGCTATAGCGTTTTGTAAAGAAATCTTCTTTATATGACAGAACTAGTTTTCCAGCTTGGCTTTCTATGAAGGCCTGATCTGTACTCCCAAGAAATACAGACTATTTGGTTAAGCAAGATGACTGGAGGATTATTTCTGCAAGTGTAATGCAGAAGCAGTGTTGTTGCATACCAAGCCAGACAGCTAAAAAAAGAAATGAGGATTAGAATGAAGTTATTCAACTACAAATTAGTTCTCTTTTCTCATTAGCTTATAAATCTAGATTAACACATCATTCAGGAATTTTTATCCTTGTAGTTACTCTTAGGTTTTGCAGTGGTATCTCAATATTTTGCTATCCAAAAACTCTTGAAAAAGTGCAATGTAACTTATATATGTATAGTTGTCAGTATACAGTATATATAATATATAACAGCTAACTCAAATCAGTTATGAAGCGATGATGCTTGAAAGTAGCACACTGCTCTGTATCATGGAGCTTCACTCCTTCTTACGAGGTTATGTGTTTTTACCTGCATTCTTCAACTCCCCCCCACAAAGTGGAGAATCGCAAGGATAGCGCAATGCTTACTTTTCAAGGGATTTATATATTTTCTGAACACCAGAAAATAGCAAGCAATCCTTTCAAATGCAAATCAACTTTAGATATGCAAATGCAGTTATGATGTGCTCAAGTATTACCAAAGTAGCACTGTCTGAATATAGATTTCAAACTTTTATTTTAGACAGAGTGCTTAGAGGATTTTGCTTTTATCAGTAGCAAGCATCCAGAGAGACAGAGAAAGGTGGGTCTTGCCAGTCTCCACTTACTACTTCATCTSGTAAATATTTAAAATGGATAGCCACGTCATTTATCAGTCATTTCAGCAAAAGGTATCTAAGCTAAGAGTTAAACAATTTAAAGTAACTTTTTATGAGGTTAAAAAATTCCCGGTATTAACACACCTGTAGAGAGATTTCTCAGTAAAAGCAAATAAGCTGCAGTTCTACTTTGGAAAGTATGTAAGTTAATGTTAAAAGTTGAGTTACCTTCTTTCAAGTCACGCTTCAGGTTATTTAATCTCTCGGTGCAATGAGGAAATGCAAACACCATCACATGGAGCTGASACAGCAGCACCCAGCCCACAAACATGGTGTGGTATCTGTCAGACAGAAACCGGGGTTGAGTTACGGAAAGAAACAAAAGCAAAACAAGCTTCTGAAGCGCCGGTGATGAACCCTGAATGAATCCTGCACGTGAGGTCATCTAACGCAGGTATCTACACGCAGGTTACCTTAATAGTTCATAGTTCCCAGGAAGAAAAGAAAAACCATCCAAACTGGTCCGGCACGTCCTTTAAGTGTTCATTGCACAACATCCGCGCGAGAAGCCGTCGCGGCCTTTCTCAGCGGGGCCATGGCCACCCGTGGGAATGGCTTCAGCAGCGGCGGCACCGGCCAGCTAAGCCAGGTGAGCTGCCCGCTCTCCCTAACGGGTGAGGAACCCCCCAAACTGGCGAGGAACCCCCCCAAACCGGCAAGGATAACCTCTATCAGCTGAGGAGTGCCTCGGCGGCAGCCCGACACTCCAGCAGACGCTCGTGCTGCCGCGGCGCCGGGTGAAAGCGGCGCTGCGCAGCCCCGTGCCCGGCAGCGCGCGGCGGGCTGCCCCCGGCCCGAGCCCCAGCGTGGCAGCCACCGACTGCCCCCAACAGCGGCCGTCCCCAGCAAGAGCCGCCCCCGTCCCGGCCCTACCTGCTGCGGGCASCGTCTCGGGCGGCGCGGCCGCTGCTCCGGCGCTTCCGGGAAAGGGCGGTGGCGGTGGTGGCCGGGACGCCCCTGAGCCGCCCCCGCACCGGCCCGAGGCCGCCCGGGAGAGGGCAGGGAGGGCGGCGGGCCAGGCCGCGCTGTGCTGGGGTGGGTGAAGCCCCGGCCACCCTGCGCTGCATGTGTTGTCTCGCCTTGCTCGCTACAGAGCTTCCCAGGAAAGCTCCGGTGGCTCTTTTGAGTGCTCTTGGCACTCAGAACTGCCTCTTCGTCACTGGGTGCGTTAAGGTAGTGAAAACCTCCCATCTTTTTCCCCTCTGGCACAGCATGCGTGCTCTCGTGGCAGGGAACGTGCTCAACATTGAGTCCAGGGAGCYGGTGCCTCCCCTGGGGCTCCTCGCACCACCTACTTGCCTGCAGTGAATTACTCCTCTGTRGCAGATGGGGCACTTGGGATCCGTAGGGTGTTTATAGCCAAGCAGAAAGGGCCCAGGTAAGGCTTTGTTTTTGCGCATATGCAAAAATAATTAATCAGCAAAGCAAAACCAAGGTCTACAGAGCAACAAACGTGTTTTCTGGAAATGCGCGAGGTGTCTCTGGGTTCACAGGCTCCGCAGGGCCGGCACACGGCCGAGCACGGCAAACCCGGGCGCTTCGGGCTTCTCCAAGGACCAAGGAGCCAGTAAGCTCCTTGTAAGGCTGCAGGTGAGTAAGTAAGGCTGGCAGGGGCCTAAGAGCAGTTCCCGAAAGGCCACGGGATGCCCAGTGAAGACAAGAGGTACCTGAAAAGCCTTTGAAGTGAAAGAGTAAGAAAGTGCTTGAGTTTACTGACCAGAACCCGTTGTTAAATACTATGGCATATTTAGGGATTGTGCTAAAGGTTGCACACAAAAACACTTTGGAGACGYAGGAGTGACTAGGAGGAGATCCCAGGAGTGGGTGATTTGTGTTTGTGCTAGCGATGTCTCCCCTAATGACTCTGCGTTGTGGTATTTATATAAGTGGTGGAGGAAAGAGTGGATGGTGCCAGTGGAAGTTATCAGATAGCCCCAACAGGAAAACAAGAGCTCTCAATGTGTGAAACGGGAGAACTGTTTGGAGGAATGACTGTAGTTAARTATTTGCTTTATGACACCAACACCCTGCTGTTAAGGGGTGCATGATTAAAATATAATTTATGAACTGTGTTGGCTCGTGCTTTTTAGCTCGTTGGGATCTCAACACAAGCCTTTGTAATACAATTGTGTGTATGTAGTTACAGCAGTGCAGAATTAAGACAACAATACTGCACAGAAGAGAGCAGCATAGCATGTGCACTATAACCTTGTAGAAAGCATGGAGTTCCTCACCTAGGAAAAGACCTTGTGGTCCCCTTACCTAGGGCCACATTAGGCCACCACCAYGTGTTGTCAGCAAGAGAGGAAGACAGAAGAGGTTTCAGCGTGTCCCATACAGCTCCGAGGTGGTGGATCCCACCGTCCTCACGGCAAGAGTCACCTACGGGCATCGGAAGMGACGACCCCCGGTGTGCATTGACCATCATTATGCATTAAGTGTTCACAGGAAACATTATTTTATTTTGTAATTATTTTATTTCGTAAGGTGTAATGTTAGGGCAAGAGTGCATAGGTTTTATTGTTACTCCCTCTTTTTTACAAAGGGGGCAGCCTCTGTTGAGGTTGCCATCGCTGGTATGTTTATGCACGTGGGTTTTTTAACCTCAGTCCTTTCAATGATATCTGGTTAGGAGGATATTGCTAAAGATTTGAGTCAGACCTGCATACCTTCTCACAAGAGGAGGGTGATACCAGTCCATGATGTTCATGCAATAATTATTCAATTGAACAGCAGTGTATTTATAGTATAGGAAAAGGGTAAAATACTAATTTCTGATTAGGGGGAYTTTTGGTCAAAAATGTGTGTTATTCCCTTTACGCAGTGTCCTACTCAGACTTTCTGCTAGCTATTTTCTTTTGACTGGTACAAAATCATAAAAAGTTAACATATTTTCTCTCACCCCCAATATACAAATATATGCTACCATCACCTTTGGGTTACTAAATTTGTTCTAATTATTTTTCAGTTTGTCATGGAATCTTTCTCAGCTGGTATGGGATGACAAGATGGATAGAACTGTTTATTATATTTTAGTAGTGGGAAGTACTGATTGAGAATGCCCCCCTCTAGTGGCTTTGAAACCATGTGCATCTGCTGCTGAGAACAGCTGTATTTCATTTCCTGAATCATGTGGTATAAGTTTGTTCTTTATACAAAATGTATACCTATATTTTCATGTTTGTTAACTTCTGTTTGAATGTACTGTAGCTTGATACCTTTTTACTAAAGTTAATTTTGTTARTATATTGAGAACATTACTGAGCTTTGGCTCTGCTCCATAAATATGAGGAGATTTAAAGAGTCAAGGACATTTATATTAGCCTTAAAATTTGAAATTTTCATAAAAATTACACCATTGAACAGGGCGGTTTTGATCTCTTCTGGATTGCAGATTTCCTTTTCTAAGGAAGAGATTTTTTTTAACTACTCCATGCATCATTATGCATCACACTTTTTCTTTGCAAATTACGGTTAATGTCRTAGCTGAGATGTTGGGTGGACTCACTGCAGCTATGAATCAAGTTATCAAAACAAGTGAAGAACTTGTTCTGCTTCTTCCTTTCTGCATTTTGCAATTTTCTTGCCAGCAATTTTCAAAGCAAAGAACTATTCTAGTGAAAGGGATTAAACAAGAATATTGAATCATACTGTGAGAATGCAATTTTTTAGAGCTAGGTTTTGTTCAATATATACTTTGTGTATTAATTCCTATACTCTATTTATCTTTAATTAAAGTGTTATTTATCTGGCTAAGGAAATAAGAATTTTCTAATAGCAAGTATGGAGATCAGCTGTAAACCAGCTAATCAATAACTTTCTATTAATTAGCAAGGAGATCTGCTGTGATATTTATCCATTGTTAACTTATTTACTTGTAATCAGTTCCTTCTGGTGGGGAATATGCTCATTAGAAGTATTCACCTGAATTCAATTAAATTGTACTGGGGGTGGAGCCCATGAAAAGAAGGTGAGTGAGAGGTTTTCACAAGTTTGTCTCTCCAGCAATGGTAAGGGAGTTGGAGTTTTTTTTGTTTGTTTGTTTGTTTTTTTGTTTTTTTTTTTAAATCTCTGATGTTTACTTAGGGAATAAGCTTGTGTTGGGATTTCTTGATTTCTGATAGTGAATTAAAAATATTTTTGCCTTCTAAGTAAGTAAAACTTTTATGCTGAAAAATGTAAGTAAGCTCTAAGTAATCATTTAGGCTAGTCTTCTTAGAAGCTGCTCTTTTTAAAGGATTGTAAAGGGTAACTTGTTCTCAGCTTTAGATTTAATTTGGGATATTTGGAATCATAAATTTTTGTGATTTCACAGTTGGTGAAAAATCTAGGGTTTTCCTTGGTTTGTCTCCAATTCAGGTAAGTGCAACTGTATTTTTTTTTTTTTTTTTAAATACTTCTTTGGCTGAATGAAAACAAAAAGTAAAACAATGAGTAATAAAAGATAACTTGTAATGCGTATGGGAACGTAACTAAGAGTAGTTTGAGGACTAGCCCTTTACTTGTTTTTATTTTCCAGACTTTAATGTATTGTAAAACAGGCATTTCTYACTATTTGAGAAAAATCATTAAGTATTTGGCTACAGCTGCAAAACTTTCTCCAGTGGTTGCTTAGGTCTGGGAAGAGCTTTTTACTCATTTTGTGTGGTTTTTCAGATTGCCATACTGYGGGTATGTGTATGCGTGTGGCTTTTGGGGTTTGTTTGTTTTTTCTCAGATTCATCTTCTCTTATCTCAAGAAATCTTACAATTTTCAGTATACAAATACAGCTGCAGCTTACTGAAGCTGCAATCCGGAAAGCTGGATTTACTAGTAGTAATAGTGTTTTGTGTGTCTCTATGCCAGTTTTAGCTATGGTAGAAGGAGGAGGAGTACCTAAARGTATCAAGAAGAAACTTCAACTTGGAAGTTAGCTTTGGAAGTCAGGGTTGTTTCTGAACAACTTCTTATCTTCTTATTTTTTTAAGACTAGTACAACAATTTATGATAAATACAGTAGAAACTGCGAAGTCTTTTTAATGTAAGAGATGAAACTAAGATAACTTTTGTCTGTATCGACAGAACTTTGAATCTCTGCAGGGAGGTAGAGGCTCCACAAAACAGCATGTACTTTAAATCTTCATTGCATGAGTGGTGAGGAATTATGTTCTCTGTTTAACACATCAGATTAGCACTTGAGAAAATTAATTTGTAGGAGGCTCTGTTATGTATTTTCCAGAAAGTCATCTTAGCTTCTGGGCCAAAAGAGCCTGAGGGATTTGACAGTTCAAAAGAACCAACACTTTTT